CACATAGCACCACTGCAACAGGGTACCATACTATGTGAGCTGCTCAGCGTTTGGAGATCCCATGCAGTGCTTACCCCTTCATCTGTCACGTGAACTTGAGCTTTGAGACTGAATAGTCTTGAATGCCCTTGTTCAAGATTTTAATGGATATTGAACTGGGAGATTAACTAATCATGCTTCCATTCTCCAAAAAAGCTTATTCTCCGTAGGGTCTCGGGGATAATGAAGCCCATCCCAGCATCCTGGACCACAGGGCTCATGCATAGACACACGTTCACCTACAAACAGTTTAGTTCAGGGGTGTCCAAACCTGTTCTTGTAGGGCCACTATCCTGCAGAGTTGAGGTCCAACCCTAATTAAAAACATCTGAACCAACTAATCACGGTCTTCACACTTACTAAAAACTTAAAGTTTGTTGGAACTGGTTGGAGCTAAACTCTGCAGGACGTTGGCGCTCCAGGATCAGGAATGGAGTTTAGTTTTAGTTTAGCCTATTATAATGAAGGTTTAGTGTCTTCAGTTCACCTCTGATGAATGTCTTTGAATTGTAAAAAGCAAAATGGAAACCCACAAAAACACTGAAAGAACAGAAAAGTCCTCCATGGCTCAGCCAAAATGATTTAAAGCAACAGTGCAACCATTGAGCCACCATTCCACCCTGAGATACTTTTCAGGTACATACTAATCAAGTAAAATAGTCTCATGATATTTTCTCAATTTTTATTCAAATTGTTGTGTTGACTGCATACCTAAAGCTCTATTCGTCCCTGTTTTTCACAGTGGTATTCAAAGAAAATGCTTATAGCTTTTGATTGAATTAGCCTATTTTCGTGAGACTCTTAAAAGGTCTTTAGACTCTTTGGGTTATTTGGAGTACAATCACTATGCACTCTCATAAAAAAAATAAAAAAAACAGTACAAGAACTGTCACTGGGGCAGTACCTTTTCAAAAGGTATACCTTTGTACCTTATTTACCCCTAATGGGCTCATATTGGTACCTTACAGATATATATTAGTATCAAAAGTGCACATTTTAGTACTTTTTGAAAGGGTACCACCACAGCGACTGCTTTTGTACCAATTTTTCTGCCACATTGCTGGTTTTGAGTCCTCCTTTTAAATTTCACCTTTACCAAGTTTGGCTGAGATCATTTCTAGACCATGCTGGCCAACAGTTACCCAAAAATGTATATACCAAACCATTCTTGTGTAAATCTAATGGATAAACCTCTGAAAATAAATTTTTACTCAACTGTAAAAATGTTCAGGAACATTGTGCTTCAAAGTTAGCCTTGGGAAGCTAATTAAATCTGGGGCCCTGAATCAGTGAGGTGAACTCTACACCAACAGGTCACAAACCTTAAAGAGGAAGCACCTTTGCTTAATATCAGCACTACACCCAGGCGCTAACTCAATTTCACACTCCTAAACTCAGGCCCCGTGCTTGGCCAACATCGCATCTGAGTATGCGTACCATCTGGTCCAGAGTTTGAGAGGAAGCGGCTTGGGTTTTCACACTGATCCAATTAGGGCGTTTTTTAATTCATTAAGGATGTTCTGTTGTGTGTTAACTAGCTCAGCATGGCCAACAGCTCTGAAGCCACTTGCTGACCAGGATAGCGCATATCTTACACTCCTTGAACTCCTCGAATCCAGACAGTAGGGGGTATGGAAGAGCAAAGAGGAACTGCAGAGGTACCTCTTCAACTTCCTGTCTCTTAGAACTCTGCACTTAGGGGCAGAGATTCGTAGTATAGGGTTCCTCTGCTACACAAGCTCTAAAACAATAGAGAGTCGGTCCCACAGGCGAGAAATATTGGAAACAGGAGGTCTGATTTGCTGCTGTGGAAATGTGAGCCGTGAGATGGTGAAAAACATGTTTTCAGACACTCGTCTAAATCCATGCCAACTGATCTCACTGTGCGCCTTGTCATTCAACACTTTGTCGAGTATCATATTCTTACGCTAAGGACAAATTGCATCTCTTCAATCAGTTAAGTAACAGTGGACAGTGGGGGTTAACTGTAGCTCGAAAGTGTGGTTGTTTGAAATATGAATTTAAAACCATAAGTCCTTTGAAACCGTGTCATTAGGTTTGGACTCTGTTCAAATCCTCTTTAAACGATTCTTTAAAAATTCAGACAATTTGCAGCAATCAAGGTCATTCTATCCCCCCTTGCTACAACCCTTCGAACAAAACCGAAAGTGCTTCAAACGGCACAATATCAATGCACAACTGTGGCCTACAGGCAGATACAATAGCACAGTCCTTTATCAAGGAAGACTTCAAAAGTGGAGCCAATGCCTTCGGTTAGCTGCAAGAGAGGTCCACCATCAACCCCTCCTGCCATATTAAAGCAGTTTTGTTTTTTCAAAAGAGCATCTCATTTCATAGGGAGTTTTCCTGCATTAGAATTAAACCAATATGGTGTGAGTGTGTCACATTCCTGAGCACAGACCCACTGGCTGCTCTTCATAATGAGGGAAAATTGGTTTCAACAAAGGACAAAAGATGAGCTTCTGCGAAGTGTTCTGCACTGATGCACACTCTATGTGGACACTTTGAATAAAAGTAGTTCACTAAGTAAAGGAATAGTTCACCTAAATATGAAAATTCTGTTAAAATTTACCCATACATTTTTGAAGAAATGTTACTCGGCTCTTGCCTTATAGCAATAGATCATTGTCAGCAAAAAAAAAAAAAAAAAAAAACTTAAAAGAAGTCCATTTTTGAATTTGGACACAGATGAGGGCTACAGATCTTTTGCAGATGTAAATATTATCAGTGACTAATAACTTAAAAATTATTTTAAAATGCTTTTAATACGTTTATGGTGGTTTTATGGTGCTTTTTATTCTTTTGATGTTTGACAGCCGCCTGATCTTTAGCATCTATGCCACACCACTGAGTTCAGTGCTAATATAATTTTTTTATTTTTTTTATTTTAAATTAAGCAATCATATAAAACAGACTGTTGCAAATCAGTCCAGTGCAATTATTGTCATGTGTTTACCAGATGAGAAGAAATTGAATTTTAGTTTGTTCTGAACAATAACATCAAGGTAGCAGTAGCTTTACTCTAGCTGGTGCTAGCAACAACAAAGTCATGAGTTTGATTCCTAGAGAACAGGTATGTAACATTGATATTAACTTACTATACAATGCACTCATTTGGTACTGGGGTGTATTTTGTAAAAATAACAGACATTTTCAATGATGTTCCACACAGTGAAAAATGTATTGAGTGATTTAAGTAAAATGTAATGTTGGAGGAAAGTGTATATTTTTCTTGCTTTCATTATAGTGTGTATGCTTTTAGTATGCTTTGTAATCTAAAGATGTGCCTATTATTTTTTATTAACAGCATACTGTTTTAATATAATATAAAAATTAATATTATAAAGCTTTTCCGTTTGCTATTAAATTGGTCACACCTTTACAGTTTAGGTGTCAGGAACCTAACATTTGTCTGTGTGAACATTTAACATCCAACGTGTTTGCAATAAATTTAATCGACTTGGGTAACTGAGACAACATTTCAAAGTTTAGCCGAAACACTTCCTGAATAAATGACCAAAGTGATGCACTGCAACTTGCTTTGAATAAAAGCACCTGCCAATTGAAGAAATATAAATGTAGATTGTTTGTGTCTGATTGCAACAAGATGTGGGAGTGTTTCTTCCAACATCCTGTCAAATATCCTGTGAAAAACCTTAGTTGAAAGCCGTACAGAGCAGGAGTTCATTAATGGACCTGAACACCAGCATTGTGAAACATCCCTGCTGCTAGTAATCAGTTCTTTTCTCTTTCTCTTCCAAATACTGCAAATCAAATAATCAAGAGAAACAAAGTGAGACACATGCACACAAAATACAGGCATATTGTAATCGCCAGCAAATAAATATATGATAACACGCACAAAGGGCGTACGCAAGGGAGCTCTCATCTGATCCTGCACTGCACAAGGCTTTGAATTAGCCTGGAACGTTGCATTTGATCCTCTGCACGAGTCAAAACGGATCTCCGAGCTGTGCTTTTAACAGCAAACTTCACTTGGAATTATATTTGATTGTAAGTCTTAATCAAGTTCAATTTGTCATAAACAGCCACTTCTAATCAGCTACATGTCTACATATCTTGCTTAATATATTTGAATTAATCTTGTTCATGAATGCTCCATAAGAGGGATTTCGATGTGACTGCTCTTGCAGAGAATACCATACCAACAAGACAAAGAACTACTGGGAATGTGTGTTCGGGCGCTGTCAAATCATGTGCATGTTGCATTAGATTAATTGCAATTAGGGTTAATTACGTTTTCAGAATCAAGCTCACGCCAGATGAACTATGTTGCTTATTATTGGATCCATGTGTGTTTTAATGCCAAAAATGTGCATTTGAATTAAAAGCGACCTTTGTTGTGTTGTGTTCTTCAATCATGCCAAAAACGTATCACACGATAAACTTTTATGCTCATACTTTTTAATGTATCACAATGAGCAAGAAACATACTTGATGAAATATTTTCAAAGGAGTATATTCAATTACCATCTACAATCAACTTAACTAGGACAACAAGGTTTTTGTGACAAAAGTTTCTCTTTAAAAGTCTGAAGTTCCATGTGGTTTATGTATGTTAGTCTCCATGTAATTTGGTACAGTTTGGAAATCTTCATCATATAATTACAGTAACAAAAAGCTAACAAGACTACAGTATAGAAAAGACATCAAGAACAACATTTTTGGTTTAACTTGCTCTTTTTGTACATTGCAAGGCTGTAAGTTCTACCCTCGGATGGGCTACCTGGAGCCACAGAGCCGTGCTTGTGAGGCTCGGAGGAGGAGGAATAATTTGAGGAGAACGAAAGAGAAAAAATAAAAAAAAGGAAACACAAAAAGCATCAAAAATGCTGTGGCACCAGGAGCCACTAAAGGAACAGGAAGCTCCAGCAGCAGTTCATCGTTGAAACTGGAGCAAATGTTTTTTTTTTTTTCTCGTTTGGTTGCTTGTTAGTTTGGTTATTAATTTTGGTTGATTCGCTTTTTTGTGTTTATCTGCTTCCTCAGGAATGACACCCAGGAAAATCCCCTCCCCTTGAACAGTAAAGTCACCCTTTATGGTTGGATGGATCCGGTCGACTCCACGCCAGAGTGGAACCACGTGTCAGTCACTGAGGCGGGCAGGAGGAAATGAAACAGGTAGCAACACCATGAACTGGGAGACAACGTATGCGAGTGTTTGAGTCCATCCCGTTCAGAAGTGCAGAAAATGTCCAAGTAGATGCAGAACCAGAGAGAGAGAAAAAGGAGATAAATTCCTCTCCGTGTCACATATGTCCACTGGTTGCAGAGTCCACTCCCGTCGGCATATCGTGTTAGTTAAATAATGACTTGATATCGGGGCGCATCGGCCCTGCCTTTGGCTCCCATGCCCAGTTTTGGTGTGTCAACAACAGCCTTCTCAGACATCTCAATGACATCTCTCAAGTTTCCCAGAGTTCGTTTCTCTTTATTTCCTTCTTTGTCATTTCAAAGAAAAGTGTTGATGTCTTCTTTAAATATATCTATATCTGTATACATGTTCATTTTCACAGTGGGCAAAAGGATGACCTCTACAGCAAAACCTGTCGTTTTCGTTCTCTCTTTGCAAAATGTCCACACAAAAAAAATAAAAAATAAAATCAAGTATCCCAATGAGAGCTGATGTATCTCAGCCACGTGTTGGATTAACCACAATAAATATACACTCATCAGGGGCACCAACTAAAGTTTTTCGTGTTTTCGACTGCATGAAGCTTTGGCCACATTCATATAATTAACAAAAATAATAACTGCTCAGTGCTTCGGTATCCTCTTTCGCCACGTTACAAGATTATTGTGTTGAACATCAGACTTGTCAAACCCTTTACTGAAGATTCAGCTTTGCAGTTCAGTATGTATTGGTGCGAAATGAAAGTATAAAATAGAATACAAAGTATAAAAACTCAGACTGATGCTGGCTCTTATGAAACACACGCACACACGCTCACACTCGCACATACAAAGTCCATGCTGGCTGAAACAGTTGTGAGGGATTCTGCCCCACACGAGAGCCTATAAAAAACGAGAACACTTTGGAAGCAAGAGATACACAACTGTGTCAAGACAAACAAATATAGGAACATTGTAACACCATAAAGTGGCCAGAGAATGATAGAAAACAAATAGATGTGATTTCAATTTAAAGCTGGCATTGTAACATTAATTTATAAATGGACAACAACAAAAACGAAGGAAAATAAAATATACAGTTATATGAAAATAACCATAAAGATATTATCTGAGACCAAAACAATGCAAAGCATTCAAAAATAAACTATACAATATCGGACTTCTCAAAAATAATTATGAACAATATTATAGATAACATGGTTTGAGAGGAGTGGATCCGCTTGCAGATCAAAGGAACCCAATTTCAATGGCACGCACACCAAATAACACCAAATCAAATTTTTCTGCAAGACATAATGCTTGTTTACACACCTGGACAAGTGTGGAAATACGCTACTAAAGCCAAATACGTTTGCGCCCCCCTAAAGCATCTTTTACACATTTCAAAAATGACTTGATTTGGAAAAGAAAAGAAAAGAAAAGAGCAATTCCATTTACGATTGGATGGGGGCCATTTCGCTAAAATGCAACCATTTCCATTGCAATGACTTGGAGTGAGGGACCTCTTTGGACACTTCTACTTTGTCGTCACGCAAAACAAGGGACACCTAAAACAAACCTTGCTTTCCCCGGTCTTATAATGCTTTGGAATGAAAATGCCCCTTACAGACCCGCAACAGACATTTCCTGCATGAAAATGGCTTTACACCCTGCAGACAATGAATTCCCTATTTGCTTTTCCAGCCTTTCGTTCTGAGACTAGTTCTAAATCAAGAAGCATGATGACACCGGATCAGGGAGATGCGTAAGTACCAGACAGGTTGCAGTATGTATATTTTTGGTAACCACTATGACTTGGTAATCTAGTTCAAGTGAGTAAAGTCATTTAATGGCTGCAGGGATTCTGTTCACTCTCGACACATCATAATCGGAGTGAGGTGATATTCAGCAATCCATGATGGCAGAGTTACACAACAGCTTACAGTCACCTTAGAAATGGGATAAAATAGACTTATACTAAATTTGAATAAAAAGAAGCAGTCCTTGCTTAAGAGATTAAAACTCAGGTGTAGTATTTGGAATGCACTGTTATTTTTACAAACATTATAGAACATTGGTGTGTTCAAAAATGAAAAAAAAAAAGAAGCTAAAATGTCCTTTGGAACATATATTCACAGTCTTCAAAGTTCCTTTTTTTGCAACAAGAAGGGAAAAAAAAGATGTTGCAGGGCAGGGAAATGGTTTATTGTTTGTTTCTTTTTTTCTTAAAGCTTAGCCAAAAAGCAAAAGGAGCATGCATCTAGGTATTCTTCCTTTCCAAATCTACATTAGCAGCAAAACATATGTCCTTAAAGACCAGACCTTATATATATTTTTTTTTACAGAAAGAAAACAAAAGAAAAAAGAAATGGATTTCATGTGTGACAGAAACTTCAACAAAACCTCTATTTTACAAACTGCAATGGCTCTGTAACGGTGCTACTCCACAATGCAAGGACAAGGGCCCTTTTTATTTTTGGTTTTCTTAGTATTCGACGTAAAAAAGCCACCTGTCTGCTTGCAAAGAAGCAAAAACGGCAACTCTGATGCGTATTTCTTTTATTTTAAAACGTTGTTTTCTTTCCTTAAAAACAGCAACAAATTCTCAAGTATAAAGAAGCCTCTTTTCTCATCTTTATGCACCAATGGTGAAAGTGTTAAGTCTTTGGATTTTCTTTTTGTTTTAAAGCGTGAGAATTATTATTATTATTATTATTATTTTTTAATTTTCATATATGACAACACAAAAGTTGAAATGAACATAAAGCCTATAGCAGACTGCAGCCACACTACATGGAAACAAGTATCTGCTTTGTAGTGCTAAAGGAGAGGCAGTTATCTCCAAATCTACAAAGGCAGGGGGTACAGAAAGAGGAAAGAAAGGAGGAACAGATAGATAGCTAGAAAAAAAGAAAGAAAGAGAGAAAGTCAGACAGTGGTAAGTGCACTAAGGTAACGCAAATATAACTGAACAATTTTCAAACACACCCCAGATTTCTCCTCGCTTTTCGTCAATGCTGCACCAACCAAAGGTGAGAAACCCCTTGTGACAAAAAGATTCAGCTGGGAGAACAAGAACAAGAAGCTGAGAATTGGACAGAAATAGAGTAGAGATCGTTTCCTGCTCCTTAATCTAGTCTATTGGAATGACCAAGACAACATCAAATGAAGCGCCTTAAAGTTGGACAATACAAAAGCTAAATGTACACAAAGATTTTTCAATCTACCATACTGTTTAAATTCATTTCCAATGCAACAATCTACTGAACACCAAAAATGTATATATCTATCATAAATACAGAAAGTTTTTTTTCCTAAAAAAAAATCTTTTTCCTCCACCAAGTCCGCAATGCTTTTCATGTCTGGGTAAAATGGGATTAGTAACTCTCCCATTAAAAACAAACAAACAAATAAAAATTAAATGATAATAATAATTAAGAAGGTTTAAAACCAGCAATTCAGCTACTCATTGAATGCCCAGAAACTTTAGTTGAGTTAATATCATTTCTGAATACTTTCTGCCAATAAATGTCATACAAAAACAGAAATGTCTATTTTTTGTTTGGAACAAAACGAATAAACTAATGACTTTTTGTAACACAAGAAAAGGTTGTGGTGAGCTGTTGACCTGAGAATAAAATTGACATTACATTATTTTTCTTTTCTTTAGCAAGCCATTGGTATCTGAATGCTTAGATAGCAAGAAAACTGTAAGACTAGTCTCCCATACAGTACATACTGGCTTTATGTGACTGTGCTATTAAGCGGAAATACTTTTGCAAACAAGGGATAGCTTGTTGACTCGTTCTTTGTAAAGAGAATTTTGGGGCCATTCAAACAACTGCAGTCCACTGCAATACAGCATTCCACTAGCAATAACCGACTTAACTGCTGTGATATATATATTAGGAGTTCTAATAAAATAAAACCAGCATGTTGATATGGGAAAACAATCCACTAACATTTAAATTTTTGGTTACAAGCTTTGGAATTGCAATTAGTCTTTACACATCTTTTTCTGAAATTGGTTTGTATACTTTAAACATTTTAACCATTGCTGCTTTTTTTCTTTTGTTTTCTTTTGTCTTGTTTTTTTTTTCTTTTTCTATTTCTTTTTTTAAATATTGTTCATCACTGAACGCTTTTACAATCTGATGGAGTCCGATCCTACACTAGCGAGATTACTACAACTACTGCTGTCTTTGAGACAGCCAGGCTGTTGTGGCTCCTCTGCTGGCCTGCCCAGCCTGTCTGCTGACTTCTGACTGCTGTCAGAATCAGACTCGTCGGTAAAGACGTCTGTTGGTATCGAGGTCTGGACCCCTGAGGTGCTCAATGAACTTGAGGTAACCGTTGAAGGAGAGGAAACTGGAGGAAAAGAAGACAATGCAGACAAAGGGGAATTGGGCTTCCCAGCTAAAGCTCTGGAGAAAGGGGCCTGGGACCATGATTTGCCTGTAGCTGTTGTGTTGAGTGGAGTGGCTGTGAAGGAGGAGGAGGTGCATGAAGATGCAGACGCTGATGAGGACGGTGTGGTGGCTGACATTGTTGGTGGAGGGGATGGGGTGTTGTTTGAGTGAGTGGCAGACTGCGAGGTAGATGTGGTGTTAGGACTGGGGAAGCAGGCTGAAGAGTGAGGTAATAAATTAGTAGCGTGCTCTTTGGCATTTCTGGATCTCTTGATTGTTCTGTGTTTGTGCAAGGCTGAATCCAGGTGTTGACTGAGCGCTTTGTCCCCTTCTAGTGTTGTGTCACAGACGAGGCAGTCGTAGAGGCCACCTTCTGCTGCATTCCCACTGTTGGGGACCCGGAGCAACATCTCTTGCAGGTTTGCCACAGACTGACCAAAAAAACAAATTGACTTGAGGTGGCTGATAGCTGCTTCCTCCTTGCTGAAGACAGCTTGACACTTGCGGCATGCCAGCCGATACTGAACTTTGGGGATGATATATTGGTCAAGATGGGGGTCTGCACCTTTGCCATCCACTTCATGCTGCTCAGTGGCTAAGTTGTTGTAAGTGGAAGAGGTTTCAACTGAGGAATTGCTCTTTTGCTCCTCTGTTTTTACTGGATCTTTGGCAGAGTCCTTACGGCCCACCGAGTTTTGTGACGTTTGGCTTGCTTTGGGATGCTGGATCTGTTGAAGCTGCCGCTGCTGCTGCTGAAGTGCCTCCTGCAGGCTCTGCTGATATTGCTGGTAATGTTGAAGCAAAGATCCTGGTGACAGCCCCATCAGGGCCTGTGATAAAGCTGGGTTGTAGGGGAAAAGACTTTCCATGCCATACATGGGCTGAAGATATCCACCTTGAAGAGTACCTGGTATCTGAGGGGCATAATATGGAGAGAAGCCAGGCATAAAGTAGGGCAGGAACTGACTTGTTAACAGAGCTGTTGGATCTGAAGCTAAAGCTGCTTGTAGAGCTTGAAGTTGGGCAGTATCGACCACATACTCCATGCCAGGTGTTGGCATCGAGGTGGCCGGAACAGCAGTGTCTGGTTTTTCTTTCTTGGCACTGGCAGCAGAAGTGGAGGGAGCGGGAGTACCCCCAGCTGAGGATGGTGTGGGGGGCTTCTCAGCCTTCCCCTTGGGTTTCTCTTTCTCCCTGGCCCTCTCAGGATCACGATTTTTGGGAGCATCAGGATGAGGGCCTGGCTGGGTCATCAAAGAGTTCGATGTAGATGTGGGGGTAGGGCTCGAGTGGGCGATAGATGTGCTGGCCTGAGCTGGGCTGGGCGAGGCCAGTGAAGAGGAGGATGGGGTCTTGTTGGGTAAACCAGATGTGGGGAGACTAGGTGAGGGTACACTGGCACCAGACATGTTCAGGAGGTTCAGAGGTTTCGGAGGGGTTAAAGCTGCGGAAATTGACACAGAGAAACAAAACATGATTAAGATTGTTGCAATATAAATCTGAGAATTAGTTGTTAGTAGTTTTACGTCTCGTATTTCAAAACGCTCACACTCATACTAGAGACATAGTGTGATGACATACCTGAGTTGGATGAGTTAAAGCCTGGTATGGAGGGACCACCAACACCTGGCAGGAGAACAGGGGGGATCCCCTGTAGATTTGGGTAACCTGACTGAAGGTTCAAGGCTTGCAAGGCAGATGTGTCAAACATCCCTTGTTGCTGCATGGCTTGTTGTTGTGCTAGTCCCAGGACCTCATTTGCTTTCTTGATACGATCCATCTCCTGTTGTGCCATCAGCTGACGAACCGTCGCTGGATCGAAGTACTCTTTCTCTTTATCGAGTTGACTTCCAATGGTATCCTTTACTTTGGAGATGTGTTGCTGGGAAAAGATGTGGTCTCGCACTGAGAGGCGAGCACTGTATTTAACACCACACAAAGAACATTCTGTCTTAGGTCCCTCGTAAGAAGTCTGGTTAATACCAAAGTGCTTAGCCATGCTGAGCTTTGCCTTCTTTTCCTTAGCACGAGCGTTTTGAAACCAGACCTGGACAACTCTCTTTGGAAGTCCAATGTCATTGCCAAGTACCTCACACTCCAGCATGGTTGGAGTCCTATAATCATTGAAGCAGGACTTGAGCAGCTTAAGCTGAAGATTAGACATCTGTGTTCGGAAGCGCTTTTGACCAGGTCTGTCTCCACTATCAATGCTTCTGCTTCCAGAGGCCCCTGGACTTGGTGAACAAGGGTCAGCCAGACTAGATGTTTCACTGTAGTCTATCATATTTTCATTTTCAAAGTCTTTTGTGTAGAAGCTCATTGCAGGGCTCACCAGTCCTGAGGACATCTGTTCATCGTTCTCAATGGAGGGTACTGCGCCCCCAGACTTAGAGAGAAAATCTCCACTGTTATGGCTGTGCTTTGCATCAGCACTGTCATTGTCAACGTTTGCCTCATCACCTGTGGTAGTGTCAGTGATGGCTGTATTCACAGAAGAACAATCATCATTATCAAGTTTATTATGATAAAAGTTTGTATTAACTGAGGAAATGGTTGGGCTTTCAAACTCCTCTGCTCCCTCAACCTTAATAGATGTTGGGCTCAGGAGAGCCCTGGGGGACAAGTCCATGCTTTTGCTCACAGGTGACAGTGATGAACTTTGCGCATCATTGTTAGACTGGGCAAGGTGAGCATAGCTGGAGATATCCAGAGGATCCATCTTCAATTGCATGGCCTCCTGTTCAGATAGCAGACCAGAAAGCACTAGGTTGTAACCAGCACGTTTAGCCTCATGCCAGTGGCGTGAACGAATATGGGCCTCGAGGGCAGTTTTAGCTTTGAACAGGGCTCGACAAAATGGGCAGCGGCGGTGCGCTTGAGCTGGCCCAACAGCCCGAAACTGACCTTTTCTTTCTCTGGCTCTTGTGTTTTGGAACCATACCTGTACCACTCGTTTTTTAAGCCCCACTTCATGAGCAATGTGGTCAAGCATTTTACGAGTAGGGTTGGAGTCAAGCAAATATTTCTGGTACAGAATCTCTAGTTGCTCTGGTGTAATAGTGGTTCGGAGGCGCTTGTCTCGTTGTGGCTCCTCTCCACTATTCATGCTGTCACTTTCTCCTGGACTAGTTCCTGCCTTCTCCTCCAGCTTCCTCTTCAGGGAGTTCATAGTGGATGTGGGTGTTGATGGGGAGGTGGCAGAGTTGCTGGACATTTGCGGTATTGCTCCTGCAAGGAGCTGGCTAGCAAGCAGAGGATTGCTAGGATCAAACAACATGAAGGACATGTCCATTGGGCGATCCAAAAACTGAGGATGAATGAACTGATTTTGGACACTCAGGAAATGAAGTTGCTGGTGTTCCTGCCAGTGTTCAAATGAAGGGAAGGCAAGTTTGCACTGCTCACACTGGTACGGGTTCATTTGCTGGGCCAACTGCTGCTGTGAGGCAGAGGCTAAATGAGGATTAAGGGCCATGTGGGAACTCTGGGAGGTCTGACTGGTATGTGAAATGGAGGGACCACTATGCTGTTGCTGTTGGGAGAGGGAAGGTGAAGAAAGCTTTGAATTCTTTGGGACTGTATGTGTCTTTTCCTCTCTTTGTGGTCTCTGCTGTGGAGTCTCAGATGGATGAATGGTTTCCTGTTTCAAAGATGTCTGCTCTCTTTGGCCCAATGATGTTTCTGAAGAGTCTTTTGATTTTTCATCAAAACAGTTTGATGTGTTAGCTGGTGTAGGCTCCTCCTTTTCAGATGACGTGATGTGAGAGAATGCAGAGGATGAAGGAGGAAGAGGGCAGAGGCTTGAGGATGAGGGCATTGGTGTTTGACCTGATGACCCAGAGAGAGTATAGTATTCATGAGAGAGATCCACAGAGTCCTCATTTAGACTGTCATACTGCCCGTCTTCCTCCTCGTCTTTGTAACAGAGCTTCTTTTGGTGTTTAATAAGGTCAAATATGCGCTGGAAAACCAGGCTGCACTTCTTGCACTGATAGTTTAAGTTGGTAGTACGAATGTATCGGTCATTGGATAACTCGCGTCGGTCACCTTCTTTTCCTCCATCTCCCTGGTTCTCATAATTTTTACGGGCTTTCTGTCTGGCATTTTGGAACCACACAACAATGACTCGAGTTGGAAGGCTCAGAAGATTGGACAACTGCTCAAATTCATCATCTTTAGGATAAGCATTAGCATCAAAGAAATCTTGCAACACCCTCAGCTGGTAGTCTGTGAACCTTGTCCTTGAGGACCTCTTATTTCCAAATGATTCCTGCTTTTGAGGCTCAGGGGAGGGTGGCTTTGAATCAATTTTGGTATCTTCAAGAGTTGTAATTGGAGGGTTGTTAAAATTATAAGGTGAGTCTTTGTTGCGTTGTCGCTCTTTAAAGAGTGTATTGCGGAACCAGTGCTTGATGACTTTCTGGGGGAGTCCTGATTTATCTGCCATTTCCTTAATTTGTTCTTCGTTGGGAGAGTTGTTGATGTCGAAATACTGGCGGAGCACCCTTAGCTGGTCATCTGTGATACGGGTGCGTGGTCTCTTATTCTGTTGCTGTAACATGGCAGGGGTAAGCTGCTGTTGGTAGAGCTGGGCCAGATCAGTGGCCAGACTGGGCTCAACAGCTGGCAGTTGGGCAGGAATCTGAGAAGGTAATGACTGGAGTGACATGGGCTGCATCATAAGTGGAGAGAAGAGAGGCAGATCCATTGACATTGGAATTTGGGCCAGTGGAACTGGAGGCTGAGGAGTTGGAGCAGTTGGTGGTGTCAGGGTAGGAGCAGAAACGGGTATATTTGGTGTTGGTACCCTCTGGGGAGGCGGAGGTGGGGGTGGGGGTGGAGGCGGTGGAGGAGGTGCAGCAGCTTCGGGTGTCTGAGGTCTCAGTGGGTACAGCTTGTCATATTGTTCCCTGTACTCTTTGGCAAATCTCTCTAGAAATCTGAACGGAAAGAAAGCCTGGTGGATATGCTCCTGATGACTCTTGAGAATCAATATGTTGGAAAAGAGCTTACCGCAAGACTCACACTCCAGTTTCTCTAATCCTTCAATAGGGTCAACTACTCTGGTGATACCAGCTGGCCCACTGCATCCTGACAGAGATCCTGTTGGCTTTCTTTGTGCTTTTTGCTTGTTCTCATTGAACTGAATTACTAACTCGAAGCCAAAATTCTCCAGTAGGGCTTTGGTGGCATTCCCTCGGGCATCTGAGACAATCCTTGGAGGAGGAAATCCAGAGTCATGATTCACATTTACAACAGCTTGAGGAGGATCTTTCTTTTCTTTGGACTTGTCTGACATATCTTTTGGAACATGATCCTCAGCTTTATCACTAATTTCTTTATCCTTTGGCATCTCTCTTTCTTTCTCAGTGTGAGGAGATGGCTTTGGCTTTTTGTCTACAGGATGAGAAAGGGCACTCTGCTCAAGTAAAGCCATTTGGCTCGATCCTTGGGAGTGGGAATGAGATTGGTGCTGTTGCTGAAGGTGGTGGTGCATAAGCTGTTGTTGTAAGCAGCTCTGCTGGGCAGAGTTTTTCTGTTCTTCCAACAGTGAAGCAGCAGATCCACTGAAGTTCAATGAAGAGCTGCTCAGGTTCATTTCTGGATTCAGTTGAAATTCTGCCCCAGGAATGTAAAACGGAAAGAGCAGCTGCTGTTGCTGAAGAGGGAGAAGAGCGTCTGTTGTCATAGGGAAGTGCTGGAGAAGAGGGTTAAAAAGCTGGGACTGAAGGAGAGCAGCCTGCTGGAACTCTTGTTGGAGCTGAGCCTGTGCCTGTGCTTGAGCCTGGGCTAACTGCTGCTGCTGTTGCTGGAGCTGCTGCTGATGACCCCTCGAGGATAGCATATCTGCAAATTTCTTCTTTTTCACTTCATGATTCTCAGAAGGAGAGGGATGACAGGCTGAGTTACCCAAATTCTCAACATTGTGAGAATGACTTGACAGATGATTACCTCCCATGATGCTCTGTGCTGTCTGAGCTCCAGCTGGAGAGCTGCTGCTCTTGCTGGAGCTGGTAGTTGAGTTAGTGGCTGGAATAGGGCTTGGGGTTGAAGTGCTATTGGAAGTGCTTCCGCTTGGGCCACTACTGCTAACAGCACTAGAAGTGCCGCCAGCTGCTTCAAGCTTTGCTGCCCTGGCCTTGGTTTGATGAAGAACAGAGCGCATATGAATCTCCAGTGTAGAGCTCTGGCTGTATGCTACATTGCAAGTGCTGCACTTGAAGGGTTTATTATCAGGGCTGCTGGTAGGCTCTGGCTGACCGGTGGTGGATTCCTGTAGAGCCCTTTTGACTTTGTGTAAGTGAGACACAGAGTTGTAGTGTACAAGAAGAATATTCTTTTGAGTAAATGACTCTTTGCAGACTGTACACTTGAAAGGACGGGACGGATCTAGAAACTTCTCCATAGTAAAGTTGGGGCCTTTCCTAAATGGTAGGGCTCGCTTGGGTTCAGATCCAGAATCTTCTTGCAAAGATCCAGAGTCACTGCCAGTTGGGCTTTGCTTTTCCTCTGGGTCACTTTCGTCTCCCTCTTTCTCATCATCAATAAGAGCTCCCTGGTCCTCTCCAAGTGAGGGATCACCCATAATCATTAGGTCTCCATTCATCAGTAAACCTCCATAGAGCTGCTGGATGTCAACTTCACTCAACTCCAGGTGACTGGTCTCCAGATGCTTCTTAAGTGCATGTAGGGTCCTGAAGCTGCGCTGGCATAAACAGCACATTGTGGCTGCTCTGATTACATGGTATTGGGAATGCAGCTGAAGTTTCTCTATTGTCTTGAATGCCAAACTACACTGGTTGCAGCGATATTTGTAGACATGACGATCAGAGACAGGCAGTTGGGGCCTTTTATTGTGGACCTCATTGAAGTGCATCTGAAGGGCATTGGAGGATTTAAAGACTTTATTACAGCCCTTTTTCCAGCAAAGGAAACCGGTGGAATCATCTCTTGCAGGCTGCTGTTCCTCAAGAGGAGACTTGTGAGCTTCAACAGTGTCTGAGGCCAGACAAACTCCTTTTTCAGGCTCAACATCTGCCACCTCTGCAATCAGAAAAATAACACACATTAAATTCTGACAACATAAACATATTTGTGTGTTTTTAAAATGTTTGTCCTCAATTGCGCAACATTCTAACCTGTTTGTTTCTTAATGTCATCAGAGTTTGAGTTGACCATGGACTGAGGTGCGGTTTGAGTATCTATCTCTGGTCCAGGGACTGGTATGAACATGCTAGCTGGCAGTACTTCTGATGCTGCCACCTGGAAAAAGAAAAACATAGTAGTTGTTAGGTTAATTATAGGCCTTAAACAATAGACTCTTGATAAGAAACATAGAACATCTCAAATTAACGTAAAGGACAAGGCAAACTTACACATTCAAAGTTACACATTCAAAACAGACAAAATTTCTGCATCATATGCAGTAATCCTTCATTGTAAACAAAAATTTGTAAAAGAAAAATATTCATATGAGGTGGTACAGGTGAGAGATGTGCTATAAACATACAACTAATTTGACAAGATAATCATATTATTTGAACTGGACACAAACACATTTACTGTCCCCCTCTTTCACACAGGCGACTTAATTTGCCATCCATGGAATTTGCACTTTGATCACTAATGGTGTTTTGTCATGCTCTGCGATAGTTCTGCTGCTGCAGCCAATTAGTGTGATGGGCTGAGTGTTCTACCTTGGCCAGTTGAAAAGCTTATTAGAGAGCCTAATTAAATAAGTCTTCCACCTCATAAAATGTGCTTTTCATTCCAATAGAAAAGCATGGTGCAATGGTCAAATGCCATCATTCAGCCTGGAATTCTGGGTAATGCAACAACTGTCAATTTCTGGATAATGATCAGCACTCTTAATTTAACATACAGTGCTCATTAATATGTTTTCCAGCAAACCAGAATATTTTAATCTAAACAATTATGCAAATTATTACTTGAAACAAAGTCATTAATAAAAAATGTAGATAAATTTAAATGTAGGTAGATGGCAAGCAGCATGTTTTTCAGTCAATTTAATTAGAAAATTAAAAGTAGCGATGAATATTGTTGTGATAAAGGTGCACCAAGGTTTGCTTGGCACTTCAAAGGTTGAAGTTAATCAAGTGTGAATGACAGCAACCTCCCTTCTATCTTTTAAGTGCACATGATTCTCCTTGCATGGCTCTCACTCTCTCGCTATCTCTCTCTTTCTCAGAATAATAATAAAAAACAGATTCATTAACAGGATCCTATTTAACAATAATCAGTGATTGAGATTAGAAAGGGTTGGGAGATGAGCCACTGTGTGCTTCACCTTCCTTCAATTAACTCCCCAAACTGAACAATCAACCTCACTCATCATGCATTTCAATACCCCAATCCCACAAATATATCCTCCTTCTCTCTCTCTCTCTGCATGTATCATTTTTTCATCCCTTGATTGTGCCCTTGCAAACTCTGTGCATCTTTTTCCTCCCCATGAGACAACCCAATTCTATTTTTCTTACACAAGACATCAGCATTACGTAATTATTTTTTTAAACAAAAACTGAACTGTAGATTACATAACTTCCTTCAAATTTAACATACCTTATAAAATTAGTCAAGTTATTAAGGTTATGTTAACCAAAAAACGACTATTTTCCTGTGAGAGACCTAAGCAAACATAATATCATTACATGGCTGTTTGACTGGTCTTCTGAGATCTGAGAGATGGAGCTGTTACATAGTGGATTTAAAACCTAATCACAGCCAGCAGCTTTAACTCAGTGCCATCAAATACAGAGTGCCACGCAACTCCACGTCTTTGAGCCTGAAACACTGAGAAATAGTCAGTGAACCAGAGCCGTCCATAAACATCTGGTTACTGCAATCAAAATCACACTGGGCAAAATGTAGCCCTTTTTTCTGCTTTTTAGCTTCCTCCCTCACCCACTCTCTTCCTAACTAAAAGTGTTAAATGATTGTGACCAGTATGGAGAATTTCAGAAACAAAACATGCCTGTGATTAACATTACAAAGTGGACTGTTTCTAGACAACTGCATCATTAGGCAAAGAGCGCCGAGTGCTGAGAGTATCCCAAGGTCACTTTTAATTTGGACCGTCTAATTGGCAAACATAGTTCCAAATGGCTATCATCTAGCCAGGCTCAGAATTAATGAAGCACAATTATTTTCATTACCCCTATCTTAGACAGACAGAATATTAGACATAGAGTGAGGGAGCGAGAGAGGGAGAGCGAGAGAAGAGGAAGAAGGAGGAGGTAGGGTGAGTGGAAGAGAGCGCATCTTTATGCAATGTTTGCAAGAAATAAAAGTCACCTGATTCAGAATTCATTAAGCTTGTCTGCCTGACACGAGGAACAGGATAGAGTACCTCTCCATCTCTCGTTAGTTGTAAAAAAGGTGCTGGTTTTAATGTGCATTGTATTAGCTCAAGTTTCTATCATGCACCGCACTTGTACAGCGCTCGGTGCGTTATTACCTCTATAAAAGAAAAAATATTGCTGTCTGGCCTCTACTAATGTGTTCACCATTTGCTTTCGGGCTGGGGGAGTGGAGATTCCTTCACAGAATTCAGAGTGATTGGCCAAGCAAGCAATTCAAACACCACAGGCAAACTTACACGTAATTATTTCACTGCTAAAATTCAGTGAAAAAAAAAAAAACCATGAAAGCAGGGTAGTCTCAGCAGAAGCTGAAATGGAATAAGGTGAGTATTCTCTGAGGGACCAGGCAGACTAGGCTTCTGGAGGCCTGAGCGCTCTGGGACTAGAGAGGTGGAAATAATGTAAAGGGATGATGTAAGTATTACTGCTTCTAGTGAGTGCCTGGAATACAAATGGCCTTGGTAATCACAAGAGGCTTTTCTAATTTTTCCACTAAACCGAGAACATTTCTTCTAAAGTTAATAATTACAATATTCATCTACTTTCTACAAACCAACTGTTTCTTCTAATCAGCTCTGAAATTAAATAGAGAGCAAACCAAGGCTTGCGTAAGTCTACTGGTTCGCAGAATTTTTGCCTGAGAAGACCCTAGTAATGCATCTCTTCTAGAGTTTCAGAGATCTCGACAGTGTCACAAAATGTGTTTTGATCTGCCAAGATGATGTCTGCGATCAAAAGTGACATTTTTCACTAGAAACTCAAACATTTGAAACATAACTGAGATCTCCATTAAATCCCCTGAGGTAAAAATGAGCAAAAAAAAACTTTTGGGACTGTAACGTTGTAATAAAACAGGGAAATGATATTGACCATAATAATACCTAACCAGTGTTACTCCCAGACATGTTCATGCATTTGCCTTGCACGACTCATTTTGAATATACAGGATTCCCAAGGGCCATATAACAATGAACATTTTCTTTTGGCGATTTTAATAAAACCTTAAAATGTCACAAATTAGACAGAAGGAAACAACCTTCGGTCCACAAAGGCAGAGTGAGCAAGAAACTGTGAGTCATTTGTGAGGTTAATGTCTGACATGATGATTACTACTGAACATGGCAGTAAGGCCATGCTGCTTTTGCGTGCGTAAAAAGCATATGGCCTTCGCACCACACAACAGAATGGCAGTGAGGTCTCACATCAAAACAAAAGATCGCAGAGAGAAATTAACTGGGCTTAATAAATATCCATCCACTAGAGACTGAATGGGAAATATTTTGTAAGGTTCTTCTGACTGTGGAAGTAAAATAAACTTGGTTGAATGCCTTGGACATTCATTAAAGGAAACAAATGCATGCATATGAAATGGAAGGCGAAGTCTACTGTGATCGCCCCCTAAATACTCTTCTGCGGTAACTTACTGTGGCAATTAGCTTGTCGACGCAGTCTGGTGCCACGCTGTGGAGGTGAGTGAGATGGAACTGCAGGTGGACCTTGTTGTTGAGCATGTCCTGGCACAGCGGGCAGCGGAACATGGGCTGCACTGAGTGCTGCGTCATCACATGCATTCTGAGCCGGTTCAGATCTGTGTTGCTGAACTTGCAGTAGGGGCACTGGTACATCTATACAATAACGAGAAGGTAGAAATAACTTATTTGAGAAGAGTGATAAAATCAAGGGCAAAGCAAGGCTCGTCTATCTCCCATGCAGTGAGCAGTGGGCTACTCTGAGAGGTAGACACTTCAAAGGGCTCTCATCTGTCAAATATCATATTGATTTTTCACCTTTTGCACAATTAGCACTGCAAGAGCAGCAGAAAAGATGGAGAAATATAATATTTTTTAGAAAAAAAATGCATGCATAATTTAAAAAGGCCTGCTACATTCTACTACTCTATTTTAAAAAGGGCTGAAAACAACATCCTTGGATATTTTGTTAATTAATGGGTACAGTTAATGAGACCTACATGCCTGGGGATTAGATAAGGTCTATCTGAATCTACTTCACAAAAATAGACAGAGATAATTCTAAATGTTTCGCAGAGGCTGTAGATTTTCCTCCATACCTGCTCTCCACTGCTCTTCTCAGTGGTCCTGGGTCGTTTCGACGAGAGGGGGCTTTCTGCTGCCTCGGACCTAGAAGAAGGCCGCTTGGAGGGGACCGGGGAATCCGTCTGATCCCTCTCCGATTGGTTGGATGCTGTCATAGACACAAAAAGAAGCATACTTGTCAAAACACAGCACCGATTTGGCAGTCTGGGCATGCAATCAATTAATAAGTTGTTAAATGAAACGCAGTAAAACTGCAGTTTTGTGCCGTATAATGATGCAGTACTGCACAAATTAAAAAAAATGTATCACAGTTAAAATGGCTTTTATGAAGCCTACTATGCTGAGCTTACTAGTAAGAGCAGACTAAAATGAAAATGTGGTAATAAATTAACTTGCTAATGTTGAAACAAAGCATAGTTCTTTGCCTTTGGTTTGATGATACTCAAGGAACATGTGAAAATCAGAAAAAAGTTTTTTCAAGATATTTGTGTTCATACACTTTTTTATGTTCTTGATAGCTACAACAGTGTGGGAATACAGGAACTGGAGTCTACAGTACAATAGTGCATGTGTAGTAATGGGAATTAAATATATTTCTGCAGCTTTCTCTATTTCGGTAAAAGTGAGGTAAACAAATGCTGAGCATTAGCGTTCAGGTGGTGCAAATCCGGTGTCATATCACCATGCCATACGCTGTCATATCGCTTCACTTACAATGTCGATTACATGTAAAAAAAAAAAAAAAATGGATGCAGTATTACAGCAGTTTTTAGTACCGATGTTGCCACACTCACGGTACAATTAAGAAACTGCAGTCACTTTTTGTAAGGAAGTGAGTAGCATGCCTTTCTAAACTGTGATATATAGGCATTGAACAGGTAACAGCCAGGCCGGCGGATTACTAAGGCAGGCTGCTCCCCCTCCAAACCAATGTTTAACCGCTCCTCCCATGGCACTTAGAAGAGGCAGTGCGCCATGCTTTGACAGCTTGTCTTTCCCTATGTTGGATGTTTAGGACATCAGACACCGGCACAGACATCTAATCAAAACATTAGTTTGCCACGGTGAGCAGCTTTAGGATGCATGCTCTCTCAGATGAAGCCATTTGAAGTGTGGCTTCAGCGAAGGGATTCGCCCAACTTGAAAAAAGTCAAATATACCACAGGCGGCTTCAAAATGTATAAAGAAGAAAGAGTTCTGTTCTGGTTCCTATTTCGATTATTTTCCCTTGCTTATTTGCACTTCTTATTGGAATATGAAATTACATTCCCTAGTTATTTTGGTTTTCAGCAAATCTTATAGTTTTGCACGAGTTTCTTGTTACATTTTGCTATAGTTTTTAAGAAAAGATTCTTCGCAAACTAGCAACATATGTAAGTTGGTTGCTAATATTGAATCTATTGCTATTGGCGTGGCTCATTCATTTCTAAAAAAAAAAAAAAAAACTTGATTACTACATCTCAAGCTAACTAACAAGAATGCATGGATAAAACACTAAAGTTGAAGAAAGCAAACTAGAGGTGGCAATACAGAGCAATATCAGAGCACATGGTAAAAATAATCAGCTCGTATAGAAACTAAATCCGCTCTAAGCCAGAGAGGGGTCGAGAGAACACACTGTTCATGCTGCTAGGGGAAAGAATTCAGTGAAACTTAAGACGCTCTCTCTCACCAGCCCATAACGAGGCTATAAAGAGTTAAATTTGGCATGATTTGTCCAGTCCAGAAAGGGCAAATTGAGAACGAGATTGTGGGGGTCAGTTTAAGCCTGGCTGACCATTTTCCTTGGGCAGACATTAAAGTGTCAGGTCCAATCAGGGCAGGGCAGCTGAGCGCTGGCTTCAGTGGGGGGCCTTACTTTGGGGAACGCTGCCTGCTGTGGCTCCCAGAGACTCCCCCAATCAGCCAGTGCTGCCCTATTAGGTCCAGTCATGGCCAATCCCATTAGACACATCCACCAATAAACAAAGGAAATGTTAAACAAAGGAACCTCCCATTCGTTGCCATTAACCTCTACTCTCCATCCACTTCCTTCTTACTGCACTGCTCCTGGCTGTCTCTGTGGCAGTCCCTTGACTCTTCTTAGCCCATCTATCATCTGCCTGCCCAATTTTATTTTTTTTTCTTCAGGAAACCCCTTTTCAGGTGCCTTGAATGTTCCTGGATCAATATACTTGGTAACCAAAATTTTCCACCAAAAACAGCTGTAGTTATTTTTACTACAATAAAACAGTGCAAACGTGGTATTTAGCCACCACTCTCATCAAACACAAATTGCTAATGCTATTTAAAAGGCAAGCTATACGTTTAACAAAAACTGCGGTAGCTGTGGTATTTTGGTGGTTACCATGGTACATTTTTGTTAGGGAGTGCAGGATAGAGAGAAAAGTAGGCAAAGTGGTTTAAAACACAGAACGCTTTAGCTAATGCTTTTATGCTAAATGCTTTTAAGCTAAATACATGTAAATAAACCAACAAAACAATTGCCTGTGACTCCAAGTATGATTGAAAAAGGGTTAAGTACACTATTTGAGTATTACTTGTACATTTGTTCATTGTAAATCCTGTCTAATAGGCAATTGCAAGTGAATAACATGAGGTCAGGGGAGCAGCTGCCTGCCGGAGGCCTGCAGCACGTGTGGAGGGGAGGGTGGCCCGCTGCCTCTGGGCACAGCCGCACCTCGTCACGCCCTGTTAGGACTCCATAAATCTGATCAATTGTTTGCTTTTAAAAAGCCCCAAAAAGCCACTTCTGCCACCAAACCCCCGTGACTAAAGCCCAGCTACCGTATCCTGTTTTCTGTTGTCAAGAGACGGAGGGAGAAAGCGGGGAAAAAACATCATCACAGAGCACGCTTGAACAAAATGGAGTCCAATAAACAGGCAAAGAAAAGGGACTGTTGGCATGTGCAATGCGTGTGTGTTCGGCACGGTTGGGCGGCCGCAGGAACATGCCTCAACATCTGAGCAGGTCAGATCCATTATTAGAGACCATGACCAGAACCTGATGGCTGGAGTCTCTCTTTCTCTCCCTGGTCTCTGCTCATGAACCTGGCTATGTGTGTCAGGCTCTGGTATGTTCACTGTGTGTACTAGTGGTAGACCAATATGGGTTTTCGAAGGCCAAATCTTAAGAGCAGGGTAATATGTATTTAATAAAATTTGACAAAATGTGAAAGGAGATGAAGACAAAATCATATACATGCATACATACTGTGGGATTACAAATTTAAGAATCTGTCTTAAATCTACTAAAAAGACTAACTAAAGCAGTGATACATTGTAGTTGATATACATTTAGGGGGCAGTGCTTAAAATGGAGAAAAAGCACCTGGGTGACGACCTTAAACAAAGCATAGAGTTTAAAACAGTTTAACATACGAATTTCAAAATAATCATAAATAGTATTTAAATAGCCAAATATTAGCCCACACAAATAATCTCAAAATTGCAAAATATCAACCTAATGTGTATTTATAACATAACTGATATTCAGTACGTGTCTAAATGTGATTTTCTCTCCCAGAAACACAGTGTTACAGTAAAACAATTTTCTGGAGGTATTTTCTTGATTTTAAAGCCACACGGTTTTTAATAGCCAGGAGTGGGAACTATTTCAGCCTGCCTGTGTGCAATTCTCGCCCCCTGTGCCTTTTTTCAAAACCATCCTAATGCAGTATCTGTACATCTGACCTCAATTCTACCATTCAGCAGTAGACCGCGCTTGCAGCAAAACCCACAGAGACAGCGACAACGCCCCAACATTCATCTGACATCACAAAAGCCAAAGGAGAAGCAGTGAAAAAAGTCTTAAAAGTCAATTAGGTGATTATTTATTCATGGGCCTTTTCCGTAAGCAGGAGGTCTTTGTTCTGGAGTGTCCCGTAAGTGAATTGGACTTTGGCACCTTCTCTCAACCCCTGAAGCTGAGAAGCATTCCTCAGCCAGCCAGAGAAGGCTGTCAGTGCTGAGTGCTAAGCCTCTAAATCAGAGATGTGAAGCACTTCTAGCGAAGGGAGGCACCACAGAAGTATATGACTGACACAAGCATGGCAGCAGTAATGCAACAAGTCATGCGCCACTGAAAATGTCCACAAATGTAAGCACAGCTGCCATCATATCATTACCCAGGTGTCCTTGGGAAGTCATCTCCTACGAGACTAACTGGACACTGAAAGTGGGCGGACAGGGAAGGATCAGAAAAATGATTTCTCCTGGCATATGGAGTACAGCATGTGCATTTGCAAAAACCTAACAGAGTTCTGGAGATGTGCTCCCAAGAAGGCATTGGAAACGCCAAGTGGTCAGTTAGTCTTTACCTTATCCAGCCCACCTCACCACTTTGCAACACAAGCATCAACATATGGTGGTTAGATCAGTTTGGTCCAAAGGTGATCAACAAGCATGGTCCTTCAGGGTAACTAGCTGGTTAGGCTAGTTAAGAAACATGGACAACAGCATCCCATGCTTCTCTTTTCAGGAGGTCAAACCTATTCCATCGTTCTCTCGTCTGTCCTGCTTTTGTCCCCAGACATTCTCTCTCCGCTCCTCATGACAGTTCTCCTCCCAGTCCCTCTGCTATTTAACCATTAATACGAAGGAGCGGTACAACTCCCCAGTGTTATAAGTCATTCACTTTTACCATGGCTAACAATAACTGAATATTATCTTTTTCTGCTCATTCCCTCCCCCTTTCATCCCTCCTCTTTTTAATCTGCAGGCCGCGTCGGTGCCCTGAGCAACAAAAGGCTATATTCCATTTTACCTCATATTTCTCAGGTAATTACTCTGCATCAATTAATTTCAAATAAAGAAAATTACAACCAAAGCCTAACACCAACGCCACTCCATATTGCGGCTTATCATATAACAGTTCCCTTGGTGTATAACCCACTATTAAATGAAAGGACCACCTCCACGGCTCTGCAAAGGAAGTGCCCATATAACCCCACAGGCGTGACTGCTACAAAGACAAATTTAAAATGAAGAAATTAAAAGGAGATATCAATTAGTGGACATGTTATTAATCTTCCGATGGCTAGGCGGGAGCTAACGCTGCAATCACCTTTAGAGGACATACACGCACTGACACACATACATGCAACTCTCTCTCTCTCTTAGGACGGCATGCCAATTAGAATACAGGGA